ATCTACACACGAACCGATTTCATCGCCCCATCTATTAAAAATATAAAAAATGTATTTCACCACAAAGCCCAGATAGCTAAATCGCTCTTTTTGAGAAGCGGCTTGGCCGCGAATGATAGCCCAATGAAGTGGCTTACCATCACGTGGAAATGTATTGCAGACAAATCCTCTAAACGCTCTAAACGCATGTTTTCTAAATGTGTTGGGAAAAACCGGAGGACCCGGAGAAAAATCCACACGACCACGCGGAGACACCGCAAAATCCAAATATACAGGGATCGAACCCACAACCTCCTGTATACCGGTGGCGAGGTAGTGAACATCTCGTGCACCGTGGTGGGAGTCAATCCGTCCTCTCGGGACACGTTCCATTCCTTGGCTGCCACTCCATAATTACTCTCAACAATCGGTTACTGACTGGCCCATCTTTCCACGGTGCGTCCTACTCCAAAGCCCACGTGGCTCTTTACAAACAAATTTGCACAACGTAGAATTTACCCTGCGACACGGTTCTCCCCCCAAATAAACCATGTGCTCGTCTTTGCGTCCCTCAACGTCACTCCAAGCGTGCGGCCCTCCGCTCCTTCCCGGCATGGACTTTTCGCCCTAACCGTGTGGCTTTCAAGACCAAATGATCAAAAATCGGCGCTTGTTATTCAAAAGCTTCCCCCCCCCCCCGCCCCCGAAAGAGACACACACGCACACAGACGCTCCGGCGGCCAAATAGAAACCAACACAAGGACGATTATTTAAGACTCTGCAGTTGGCGAGCAGCATTTTTTGGAGACATAGCATGTGAGGGGGTGGGCGGGCGGGCGGGCGGGCTGGGGGGGAGGGGGTAGTAGCGGGGTGCAAGGCCCGGCGTTACAGGCCAAGAACAGAGGCAACAACAAGCGCACGCAGGCAGGCCACCCGCAGTGAGCGAGGGAGGCCGAGAGAGAACAGAAGACGACGCACCACGATGGATAGCCCGTGGGCCGGAGAGACGGGACGCGTCTCAAAACGAACGCGGCGGTCAGCAATACCCGCGCCCATCAAATCAAATCCCGCCTACATTTTGGCGTCCGCACAATTCTTGTAAGAAGTTGGAGGCCTGCAATTTTTTTTTTTGCTCACGCCACTGTTGACGGATGGGCCTCCACCGGTGAGAGCACAAGAGAGGCCCTCAGGAGGGTGTTTTTGGCCGAGTCTTCCAAGCTAGCCATTTGAGTCTTGGCAGATGTGCGAGTGCCCACACTTTTACCCAACCACACGTTACCTGCTGTTCGATGACACTACGGTGCACTCTTTTTTTTTTTTACACCGCTGGGTGGACAGATGCGGAGGGACGATTTCAGAAAACTCGCTCCCATTGTTTCAACCACCGCCGACCGGGAGAAGGAATCGAACCGGCGACCTCCGGACAATCACGGCACAGCGGGCATCCCAGCCACTCTGATAACGGCACGGCTGCATCGCGTTGGCGCTGTGTTTCACAGACGAGTATAGTCTGCAGTAGTTCCACACAAGGGCCCCCCCGATATCGCGATACTGCTCTTACCAAATTAGCTAAACCTTGCGGGTAACGTCCAGCTTTGGGAAATTCGCAACTGTGATGCCGGCCACACACAAGCAAAACTATTCAACTATCTTCGTTTCACCAGGTAAGGCCGCACTGAACCATCTATCTGTGTTTCAGAAGCGACCTGGCCACAAATGATAGCTCGAAGAAGCGGCTTATCATCATCGCGTGGATATTTCTAGCAGCCAAATTACTCGTGAACGTGCGACATCGATTCGAAACGTGGAGGAGAAGAAGCAGAGGATGCGGAGAAAAATTCCACGCGACCACCACGGGGAGAGAGAGAGAGAGAACACGGAAAACTCCAAACGCACTACTGCTCGGCGGTGCCAGCGCACTGCGGGCTCAGAGGGGGAACACAAAGAGGGGGGGGGGGGGGAGAGGAAAGGGGGGGGGGAACAGAGGCACCACCGCTCGGCCTCGGCCTGGCCGGACGCCTAATCACACTGTCACGGTGCCTTCGGTGAAGGCTGCATGCAAAAATCCGTGGCCATTTGTCACGAGAGCTTTGTTCGAACACAAGGAGGGGGGGGGGGTGGGGGGAAGAGAGAAGAGAGAGAAAGGATTCCTCCCCTTCGCCTCCATCCCCTCCTCCACCACCAAGGTCTGGGCGGTGGTGGTGGTAACCGGGGGCCAGTTTGGCACAGGATCGTAAGTCTTGACTGCAGCAGTAGCAGCCGTTTGTTTATTTCTTACATTTTTTTGGTCTTCTAAAAAAATCTTTCCTCCCCCTACCACCAGTTTTAGAGAAAACGTGCCATCGGTGTTGTTGTCATGCGACGTTTGGAACTCCCGCGGAGCAGTGCAACCCCCACTGTACGAGAGAGTGGCTCCCGCAGACGTGGATCTCAAAGAGCTACCTCTGATATTCTGATATTCCCTTAAAAGTGACGTCCGTTCTACATGGGTGGGGGGGGATGGGCGGCACTTTCCTACCTGCTGTGCCAGCGACAGCATAGTCCGTCGCGCGACATTCAAACCGAGCTTTTCGCTTTTGTTGAATTTTCAAAACTGTAATTTAGGCGCAATAACTGCACGACCAAATTAACGTGACTTTTTTCGTGTGTGCAGTCGTCGGTGACCGGGGCTGAGACCACCAAAGTCACAGCATTTGAGAAGCCATTTTAATCACAGGCGGCTGACTGCATTTAATACTAAAAACTACTTTAAACTCAACTTGTGTTTTATTTTACCAGGTAGAGCCCACTGAACAATGTAGCTCCTTTTCTGAAGCGACCTGGCCACAAATGATAGCTCGACCAAGTGGCTAATCATCACGTGGAAATTTACAGCAGCCAAATACTCTCAAAGAACATTTGATTGTAAACGTGGAGGGAAACATTGGAGGACCCGGAGAAAAAAACACACGGAACCACTGGGAGCATGACAGGCAAACTCCAAATATACACACGTCAGGGTCGGGCTCGAACCCACGACCTCATGTACAGCAGGCGAGGGATTTAACATCTCGCCAAGATCCCGGTGGGAGCAGTGGCCCAAGAGCTCTGACCTCTGTGCCACGGGGTCACCTCTGTTGTGTGGATGTCAAATATCCCATGACACGGCACACAAGAGGCGGCTAAGTGTGTGCGCGTGTCGCGCAGCGCTAATGACTGCGGTAAATGGACCGCAAATGACGTTCCTTACGTAACTTTTGTCACAAACGCCTGCCTTGCAATGGAGATAATGAATCTCAATGGGCTATCATTTGGTTAAGTACTGTAAAGTATGATGAGTTGTCAGAATGTGAATGGGCGATGATGACTGTTGTAAAGACAGCGATAATGACAACCATCCATTACCGTCATCACGTCCAGCGTTATTACCATCATTACCATCGGCGCTTACCACTCCTCGCCACAACCGCCATCACCAGCACCACCATTCACAATCAGAATAAATCACGAAAGCAATCTGGACCAAGACCGATAACTTCACTGTTATCGTCATCCGCGCCACCATCACCATGACCACCATCGTTACCGCAACCACGACCATCGTCACTATCAGAAACCATCGCAACGCTCATCAATAAAATTCACCAAACATCAAAATTCTGTGCTCTGTCGTAATTACCATCACCACCACCATCATAAACCACCACTACCGTCGCCATTATCAACATATTCACAGTACAATCACAACCACTGCCACAATCAAAAAACCAACACCGCTACTAACAACATGTACCACAATTACCACTCGCCATCACCAATATTACCACTACCATCGCCCATCACCCACTTCCGTCAACATCGCCACCATCACTGTACCCCTCCCATCCCCTCCCCTGCCCCAGGGCACACCACACAGGCCAAGATGGCACTTGGGGTTCTCAACTTCCCAGCACGCACAGGCAAATAAGCAAACACGATTGGCTGCCGTGCGGCCATGTGAGCGGCCAGGGCCAATCGCACGGCGGGGTCACGGCGGACCACGGTGGGAAACCTAAAGCGTAAAATTTCAGGGTGTGTGTAATGAGCAGCATGTGTGTGTGTGTGTACGCAAAGCTGGCCCAAATAGGCGCTCGCTAACAGCAAACCGCCCCCCCCCCCAACAATCCGTTCAAGGCTACACAGGGCATCTTTGTACGAGTATTTATATAAGTGTGTGTACGCATTGAGCATTAGTTATCATGAACGCATGGGTTCATGTGTGAATGTTTGAAGGAAGCATATGCGGGGTACGTAGATGAAGGTGTGTTAATGAGCGCGCATAATGCAAATATGTTTCAATATGCATCATTGTCCTCTTTGTAAGTAATATGTTTGTGTTTGTGGCGGAGTGGTTGGCGTAGCGATTAGCACACCGCGCAACAAAACCGGCGACCTGATATCGGATTCCGTAGCCACAGGTTAAACATCGGTTGTGGACCATCTGAACCAGTTCTCTGCCCCAACGTCGACTCAGCCTTAAATGAGTCCCTGGTGTGGTGTGTAAACATCGGCACTGAGAAGACAATGGCGGCCCAGCCAGGCATGGCGATGGCCACATCTGCGCCAAGCCAGCCTTCGTAGGTGCTTGCTAACCGCACTTTTCCCAACGTTTCGTGAAGGCTACACAACAAGGAATATTTGGTCTTTGTGTTAGGCAAACGTCGGGTATATGGGCGAGCGTGTACATTTCAACATCACTGGCTACCTCTCCGGCCTCTCCGATTGCTGTGAAGATCCACTGCCCAAAACGTCACCTATGGCATTTTTTTTTAAGGCCACAGTGTTTTAACGAACGTGTTGCGTCATTTAACGCACTGTATTTGAATTTTCACTACCTACGTTTCACCACGCACGTACAAAAAAACTTAAATCAACAAAGCTCGCTGCACGTACTGGGAATGTTCGACGCAACATAATGGGCTCGTGTACGTGCGAGCGTACTGCGAGTGTGCGCGCGGCGTGTGTGTGTGTGGGTAATGTGTAGCAGATGCACAAGGCCTCACCAGTCTTCTCCTTAATCTCGCACAACACGTTGAAAAGGGCGGGCTTCATTCTGTGACAGTTCAGAGCATGTTTCCTGCGCATAAGGCACATACAACACACGGAACACAAATGTAAAATCTCAAAAGGGCAAATAACTCCCCCCCCCCCCCGCCCTACAGCCTTTAACAGGCCGTTGGGCCAAAGTGCTGTTAGCGAGCACCTATTTATGTTGTTGAAATTCTTTTGCACCGTACGTAGCCAACCGTGCTAATCGGCGGTGCTATGAAGAGCAGCACGTCACTCGACGGGTGTCGGTGGCCAACATCACGCCCGGACGCCTCTGTCTCTGCAGTGGCGATGTTCATTACACACCGCACCAGGCACTCATTTAAGGCCGGGTCAACCAAAGGCGAGGCCCAGGACCGGTTAAAATATTCGCCACTGTTGTTGGTCGTGAGCGGGAACCGAAGTCGGGTCGCATCGGGTTCGTAGCGCGGTGTGGTAACCACTGCGCCACCACTCCCCACGGAGTACGTGCGTGCGCGCACATAGTACGCGCACGTACACACAGTATGACAGGGGCCAGTGTCATGTGCTGATGAAAACACGACTACGCAATGGCCTGGTGATTTTGCCGCATTGTTGATGATGATGTGAGACATTAGTCGGTGCTTTTCACCAAAGAAATTTTTTTTGGTGTTATTTCTGTTTTTCCGTTATTGTATTTTCAGATTTTTACATCCAATTTCAGATTTGAAATTTGTACTTTAGTTTCGCAATTCAATTAATCGCGTTTAAACGACGCTATTCGTCCCCGAAATGTTAGCGTAATTATTTCAAATATTAATCCGTTCATTTTAATTTTGACGAAATTATGTTTTAAATCGGTTAAATAATTTCCATCCAATTTATTTGCGTCAGTCAAATCTTTTTGATGTAACCATTTAAAAAATGTATTTAGCAAAAGTGGCATACATCGCGTATATCTGCGTCTGTGCTGGCACTTTGGGCAGGAAAGCCAAGTGACAATTTCCATGATGTCACTTCCTGTGACAAATTTTCCGATCACAACACACACACTAGACAAAAAGGTAATATATTGCATTTTGCACACACACACACAGAGACCGAGAACCCTTCTGCACAGCGGTATAAACTTGTGGCGAGTTGCTGTTAGCGGGCAGCTCTGAAGACCGGCACGGCGCACAAATTCACAAATTGGTGGCGTGGCCACCACCACCGCAACCGGCCAATTCTTGCCTCCACAAGTTCTGATATTTACACAATTCATCAGGTACGCAATTATGGCTCAGTTAACTTTGGAGGGGGGGGGGGGGGGTCCAGGACAAGTTCTGGTACCGCTCGCCACTGATGTTCGCTGTGACGACCGGGAATCGAACTCAAGCTGTCAAGTTTATAGCGGTGCATTGCACAAACTACAGAAACTCGGCTCTTGCTATATTGTGCATACATGTTATAACACGCAGAGACAACCAACACACGCACACACGCACGCTACACCAACACAGCAAATAGTAGAGAACAGGCAAAAAAAAAACACGTACAGAAAGCGTAGCACAGGCGCATATAAAACACACACGCAAAAACAAGAACACACTACAGCATACGGTTCAGCACAGGCAAAACAACACGCATACACTCCAGGAACATAAGATCACACACAATATACACAACCTTTAACACAAATGTAGACAACACACATGCAATCGAGATGCCAAAAATCACAGGCCAGCAATTAAGTCACTGTACAGTCAAATCTAGACGGGCAGCAGTAACTGGGCAGATGCAGCATCACTCACAAACACACGGAAGCAGAAGAATGAAGTCGAGATTACAGAAAGACACACAAGACTCGCAATGCACGTAAGATACATGACAGGGAAAACACAGACCAGTCTAGAGACACACCAAGCGGCACATCATACGCAAACACACATACAAAAATATTGGACGAAAAAAAGGCGAACGCTCATAGATGGTGTATGCACAGCATGCACAAAAGATAAGTAACGTGTGAATTAAGATACACGCTATATATTGCGAGTACGACCACAGGAAAGAGATACAGCCAAAAGAGGCACGTGATGCAAACAGCAGGCATAGGGAGACAGACAAGACACACACACACAGGTTCACACGCAGATGCACAAGAGACACGAGATGGACACAATTCACACAGACAAGTGACAATGACAGAGTACAGACACACACACAGTGAGACAGGCAAGTTGCATACGAAAGACAGACACAAAACCATACGAAAGACTGACACACAAGCATACATGGGGGCACACGTAGCTAGGCAAGTGACGTGTAATTGAGACACGCCGAGACAACATACAAAGACAGGATACATAAGACACACAAAGGACAAGAGACATGAAACGTACTGGAAGGGACACGTGAAATATATATACGCATCAGAATTGAGACATTAAATGGAGACACGGAAACTAAACAAACGTGACACACCGATGGGCGATAAGACGCACGAGATAGGTATTCGGTAGACACTGAGAAAAGGACAAGGCATGCACGAGACAAACACAGGCACGCACACAAGCTACACACACAGGCAATGAGACGGAGACCCACACGATACATACGGAGGGGAAGACCGAGAGAGACAGGCCTCCTGAGACAAGGCACACGGAGAGACACAGACAGGGAATACACGGACAGGACACGGACAATAGAGGCACACTGGCCACGCACAAGATAAAATGAACAACGTACATATACACTCGAAATACACTGACACACACACGCGCGCGCGCGCACACAAGAACACACAGCGCAACAACAACAAGACTCACCGGTCGTGCACCCAATGAATACACACAGACACACAAAGACACAGGCAGACACTGACATAAAGGATAGACGCCCACCAAGGAACAGAATGAATACTCAACGTGGGCACAATTCACACACGAGCAACGGGTTACACACACACACAGACGAGGAGACACAATACGAGATTCTCAGACCGTACACACACACGGTTGGCAAGACGGTGAAGAGACAACACAAACCACACACACACGCGGGCACAATGGGTTACACAGAGACACAAATATCCCCCCACCCCATCCCCTTTCAACACACACGTAGACAGAATAGAGACAGACGGATGAGACACAAGCAACACACACACACTCACGTGCACATACAATAGCCGGACAACACACAAGCACGCGACAGACGATAACATCAAATACAGACAGGCCTTCCGAAATACTAAATAATACCCACGAAACGTACACGATGGGCACAGACTAAAAGACAAAGATCCCCCGTGTAGCCTGTCACAGACTGTAGGAGGCAAGTGCCGTTAGCGAGCAACTACGAAGGCCGGCACGGCACACGAGGGGGTGGGTGGCCAGCAACCACGCCCGGCCGCCTTTGTCTCCCCAGTGGCGATGTTTACCACACACCGCACCACGGTACTCAAACGAGTCAATGGGTGTTGGCCGCGAGCGGGAATCGAACTCGGGTCGCCGGGTTCGTAGCTCAGCGCTAACCACTGCACCACCGCTCCCCGCTAACCGCTGCACCACCGCTCCCCAGTACAGTCTCCACATGTACAAGACACACAACACAATGGATACACAAAGCGAGAGAGATAGAAACTCTCAACAGACAAGACACACACACAGAGACCAGACACACAAATACTAGTAACGGTAACAAACAGATGCACACCGAACACAAAGACAACACAACAACCTGCACGTATTACAACAAAGACATAGGGACCCCCCCCCCCCAGTGTAGCCTGTCACAGACTGCTGTGGGACAAGTACTGTTACATTGCACAGAAACGCGGACATAAGAGACACACCAAGATTGAGAGAGACAGCACACGCAAATGACAAGACACACACACAAGCCATACAACACACGCACAACAGATTCACACACACACCGGTAAGATATAAAAACGCAAGGGACACAAGGCTCGCATATACACAAAGACAAGACATCCGATACAGACAATACACACACACACAACAGGTCTCCACAGACACACTGGCAGGCAGACACAAAAGCAGAGAGACGCACAGGACATCAATTCAGAAAGACAAACAGAAACACACAAATACAGAGAGAGGACCCTCCAATACAGACAGGACGCACACACAAGCCACAAAAGACACACACCCAACAGATGCACACACACTCAGACACAAAGACATGCACACGAGGTGCACACACAAAGACACACATACAAGACCTCCAATACATAGCACACTCCACAAAGACACAAGCCACACACACACACTGACAGCCACAATCACACACAAGACACACACAGACAAGACCTCCAATATAGATAAGGCACACGCCACAAAGACAAGCCAGACACACACACACAACAGATTCACAAAGACACAATGACAGCCACAATCACACACAAGACACAGACAATGACCACCAATACAGACAAAGCGCGCACACACACAACAGATTCACACAGGTACACTGACAGACACAATCTCTCACACACACAAAGACACAGGCATCACCACATGCACACTGACACTCACCAGACACACTGACACCACAGACAGACACAATCACATACACAGACATAAAGACACACAATAGACACACAGAGGCATCGCAAACACAGGCATCACCACAGACACACTGACAGACACAACCACACATAGACGCAACCACAGGCACATAAAGATACACATACAGACAAAGACACACAATACACAGAGATATAAAGACACAATAGACAGAGGCAAAGACACACAATAGACACGTATACATAAAGACACACAATAGACACACACGTGCATAAAGACACAATATATAAACAGACACACACAGGCATCACCAGACACTGACACACTGACAGACACAACCACACAGACACAACCACACACACAGACACAGCCACACACACAGACATAAAGACACACATACACACACAGACATAAATACACAATAGACACACACACACAGACATCGCCACAGCAACACTGACACAGACACAACCACACACACATAAACACACACAAAGACACACACAGACACACAATAGACACACAATAGACGCACACACAATACACACACAATAAATACACACACAATAGATACACACATAATACACACACACACCAGACACACACACAAGACACACACAATAGACACACACAAAAGACACACATAAGACACACACATAAAACACAATAGACACACACAAGACACACACACACCAGACACACACACACCAGACACACACACACCAGGCACACACACAAGACACAATAGACACACACACCAGACACACACAAGACACAATAGACACACACACCAGACACACACACAAGACACACAATAGACACACACACACCAGACACACACAAGACACACAATAGACACACACACACCAGACACACACACACCAGACACACACACACAAGACACACACAATAGACACACACAATAGACACACACAAGATATACACACACAATAGAGACACACACAATAGACACACACACACCAGACACACAATAGACACACACACACAAGACATCATCATCGCTCCCCTCACTAAAATGGCGGCGGCGGTGGCGGCTTCGCGCGCCCGAACCCCCGAGAGCGAACCGGTTAACAGCCCCCCACCTCTCTCTCAACTTCACCACCACAACAACAACACCACCAACAACACCCACCCACCACCACCACCAAACAAACAAAACGGCCACCTCTCCTGCGCCTCGTCCAGGCTCTGGTCCGTGATGCCCACAAGTTGTTGAAGGATGTCCGCCAACTCTCGCTTCGAGGCCGCCGCAGCCGCGGCAGCAGCAGCGGCGGCCTCGCCGTCGGGCTGGAGGTGCGGGCCAGCCAGGCCGCCGCCTCCTCCTCCGCCGGGGCCTCCTCCTCCGCCGCCGCCGCCGGCCCCACCGGCTCCCGGGTGAGGAGGGTGCAGGCCGAGCGCCGCCGACAGCGGCATGAGCAGGCGGGCCTGCTCCTCCATCATGTCCGCGGCGAAGGACGACGCCACGGTCGGTGTCGCCGGGGGGTGTCGAGGAGTCGGCGGCGGCGGGAGGAGGAGGGGAGGGAGTCGGGGGGGGGGACCGTGGAGACACGGGGGTGGCGTTAGGAGATGGTGGTGGTGGTTTGTTGGTGGTGGTGGAGGCTGCTTGCTGCTGCTGGTGGTAGCAGAAGAGGAATGTGGAGTGTTGTGTGTGTGGTGGTGGTGGTGGGGGGAGGTGGAGTTTGTGGTGGGTGGAGATTGTGGGTGGAGTTTAGGTGATGGTTGCGGGGCGGAGTGTGGCGAGAGGTGGTGGTGGCAAAGGAGGAATGTGTGGAGTGAGTGGTGGTGATGGTGGTGGTGGCGAAGGAGGAATGTGTGGAGTGAGTGGTGGTGGTGATGGTGGTGGTGGCGAAGGAGGAATGTGTGGAGTGAGTGGTGGTGGTGATGGTGGCGAAGGAGGAATGTGTGGAGTGAGTGGTGGTGGTGATGATGGTGATGGTGATGATAGTGAAGGTGGTGGCAAAGGAGGAATGTGTGGAGTGAGTGGTGGTGGTGATGATGGTGGTGGCAAAGGAGGAATGTGTGGAGGGAGGTGGAGTGAGTGGTGGTGGTGATAATAGTGAAGATGGTGGCAAAGGAGGAATGTGTGGAGTGAGTGGTGGTCATGGTGAAGGTGGTGGCAAAGGAGGAATGTGTGGAGTGAGTGGTGGTGGTGATGGTGGCAAAGGAGGAATGTGTGGAGGTGGAGTGAGTGGTGGTGGTGATGATGGTGATAGTGAGGGTGATGGCAAAGGAGGAATGTGTGGAGGGAGGTGGAGTGAGTGATGGTGGAGTGAGTGGTGGTGGCGGTGATGATAGTGAAGGTGATGTCAAAGGAGCAATGTATGGAGTGTTGTGCAGACAGATGATGGTTGTGGTGGGGTGGAATTAAGATGAAGTAGCTTCATGGGGCTGAAATAGTGGGTTAGCGTGGTGATGGCTGTGATGAGGTTGATGGACAGGATGATGAAGATAGTGGGTGTAATGGGTGCTCGTTAGCTCTGATGGGAGGGATAAATGGAGGTTGTGGTGGTTGTGGTGTTGGTTGTTGTGGTGTTGGTCATGGTTGTGGAAGTAGTGGAGGAAAAATAAGTCTGTACGGTACGTTGTTGAGTGATGTGTGCTTGTCTGTGATTGAATCGGAGTTGATGTGATGGGTTCAGTAGTGTGCTGTGTGACGTGTCTATTTAATCAATGTACGTCGTGTTATACGTACTATGCGAGGTATATATGCTATTCTGTATGCTATGTATTCTGTACGCTATGTATTCTGTACGCTATGCATTCTGTATGCTTTGTATTCTGTATGCTGTGCATTCTGTATGCTATGTATTCTGTATGCTGTGCATTATGTATGCTATCTGTATGCTATGTATTCTGTACGCTGTGCATTCTGTACGCTGTGTATTCTGTATGCTATGTATTCTGTATGCTATGTATTCTGTATGCTGTGTATTCTGTACGCTGTGTATTCTGTACGCTGTGCATTCTGTATGCTATGTATTCTGTACGCTGTGCATTCTGTATGCTGTGAATTCTGTATGCTGTGCATTCTGTATGCTATGTACTCTGTACGCTGTGTATTCTGTATGCTGTGTATTCTGTACGCTGTGCATTCTGTAGGCTGTGTATTCTGTACGCTGTGTATTCTGTATGCTGGGTATTCTGTACGCTATGTATTGTATGCTGTGTATTCTGTGTATTCTGTATGCTGTGTATTCTGTACGCTGTGCATTCTGTATGCTGTGTATTCTGTACGCTATATATTATGTATGCTATGTATTCTGTACGCTATATATTATGTATGCTATGTATTCTGTACGCTATGTATTCTGTACGCTATGTATTCTGTACGCTATGTATTCTGTATGCTATGTATTCTGCTGTGCATTCTGTATGCGCCCCCCTGTACTGGCGTTCTATAATATCCTGAGTGATGTAATCGGTGTAGCTGTGTATCCTACACTTTGTATGCTGCATATGCTATGCACGTTATATGTACTTTATATGCTCGGTAGACATCGTTATACTGTGTGAGAATGCTTTATCTCGCATGTGTATGCTGTATGGTATGCATTCTGTACACACTATATGCTGTATGTGATGTATGCACACTAAAAGTTGTGTATTGCACGTGTGCTATATGTTCTATGTAGTTTTGTAAAGTCTGTATGGTGTGTGTGTATACTGCATGCATTGTGTGTGTGCTGTTGTGCGCTCCATGTATTGTGTGTGCCCTGTATGTGCTGTTGTGCGCTCCATGTATTGTGTGTGTACTGTACGTATTGTGTGCTGTTGTGTGTGCACTATGTGGTGTGTTCTCTATATATTGTGTGCCCTGTATGTGCTGTTGTGCGCACTATGTATTGTGTGTGTACTGTACGTATTGTGTGTGCCCTGTATGTACTGTTGTGTGCAACCCGTGTATGCGTGTGCTGTCGTGGTGACGTGTCCCACGCGTTCTTTAGAGACACACAACTGATGGGCGGCCACTCCAGGCCATGTTCTCTGCAACTCCACCGACTTGGGGTGTGGTTGGGGGGGGGGCTCCTATTAAAAGTTGCTGCTGGGTCGACGGAGACAAGAGGCTCACTTATTGGCTTGGTTGTTTTGTGTTCCAAACGCAACACCACACCAGCCCAACTACCAAAACTGCGAATAAAAAACTAAAACCACACCGCAAAGCCCACAAACCCCCCTCCCTCCCTTACCAACCCCGCCACGCGTTCAAATTACACAACAACAAAAAAACTAAAAGAAATAAAGAACGTACTAAAATTTAAACTGCCCGTCGAACAACGGGCAGGCTTGAAACGATAAAGATTAAACGACGACGGTGATGGTGGTGATGTTGTTTCAATGATAGCCGAGTAAGCCGACATCAACCCGCTCCCTGTCCGCTCCTTCTCACCCCCCTCGCCTCGACCCCTCCCCCACACACTCCTCTAGCGACACGCCCACTCGCGGCGATTCACCAATGGGAGCGCGTACGTTGCACGAAGGGCGTGTCGCCACGCCCTCCTGCGGTTGATTGACGGCGAGGGCGGCCAATAAGACGCGCGGGCGTACGCCCGCCGTTCACGCGTTCCCTTGTGCCGCGCCCAACGAATGTGATTGACAGCGCGTGGAGCCAATCGGAAGGCGAGGTGCGTGTCGCCACGCCTTCTTGCGGTTGATTGACGGCGAGAGCGGCCAATGAGACGCGCGGGTGCACGCCCTCCGTTCACACATTCCCTTGTGCCACGCCCAACAAATGTGATTGACAGCACGATGAGCCAATCGGAAGGCGATATTTGGGTGGGGCTTTGCGAGAGCCACGCCTTTAGCGGCTGTTACCGTGGTTGGGGGGAGGAGCCGAGTTATGCTTGCCAGAGCAGAGGTTTCTCCTCCAGATGTAAACGTTGCGCATATATAATCTGGAGGTTTTTGGCCTGTAACTAACTATATTTTACCTCTGATCTGGCAAAGGCTATTGCAAAACTTAAAGTTTTTAAGGGTCTTTTTTTAACGTCCAATTTTTATTTTATTGGAACACCCCAGTGCCATTCCTTTATAAGGCCATGGTATTGCCGATGAGACCCAGTGAAATCAAAACCAGTCTAATGGACCATATGCCCATACTATGGGTGATCAGTGGCGTTGGATTAAGTGGCCGCAGCCCTGCCGATGAAACCCCACGAAGTCGAACTCACCATTTAAGGTTCCTGTTCGTAACACTGACTCCCAGTTGCTGCGATTTATGAGCCTCGATGCCTTGCCGATGAGTGTCAATGGAAGTGAAACCAGTCCATGGATTGCCATGCACACGAGATCCGGGTTGGCCATTGGTTGAGGAGGCTTGCAGCCTCCCGGCCCATCTCGCCCCAGAGGTCGGCAAACCTGCGGCTCCTGAGCCGCATGCGGTGGCTCTATGAGGAGCGGCAGTGCGGCTCTTGAAATTCGATTTTTTTGTTTAAATGTCTCTTGTTATTTTGATTGTCCACTTTACCATGGAAATCCAGTTTACCGTGGGAGTCCAGTTTACCATGGGAGTCCAGTTTACCATGGGACTCCGGTTTACCATGGAAGTCCAGTTTACCATGGAAGTCCGGTTTACCGTGGAAATCCGGTTTACCGTGGAAGTCCAGTTTACCATGGAAGTCCGGTTTATTATGGAAGTCCGGTTTACCGTGGAAGTCCGGTTTACCATGGAAGTCCAGTTTACCGTGGAAGTCCAGTTTACCGTGGAAGTCCGGTTTACCGTGGAAGTCCGGTTTACCGTGGAAGTCCAGTTTACCGTGGAAGTCCAGTTTACCATGGAAGTCCGGTTTACCGTGGAAGTCCAGTTTACCGTGGAAGTCCAGTTTACCATGCGCAGGGATGGGCAAGCTACGAGTCCGGGGCCGAACGGGTGGCTCTCTAAGGACTGCTGTTTCGTGACCGTTATTAATGAAGGGCTGCTACCGTCTCGTATTCGCCCGCGTGGCATTGCGGCATTTGAAACATCGCGGGTCTCTTTGAACGGATTCGAAAGGGGCCGTCGATAAATGACGTCACGCACCTAGGTGGGGGGGGGGGGTCAGACATTTGTGACGATGCGTGACGAGGAGGGGGGGGGGGTGAGAAATGTGACGTCACATCAAAATGCGCAACCTAAAAATAAATATAGACAACACGTTCCACTTAATTAAATAGACTTTTTAATACATGTTTTCTACTACAACATCAGAGTGCAGCGCCACATTAAATACGCACTACAATGACAATCGTTTAAAGCGATTTGAAGCATGTTTTATATATTTTTTGGGGGGGGGGGGGCAGAGCTTTGTGACGTCATATTTGAGGGGGGGGGGGTCTGACTTTTTGTGACGCCGTGTGACGAAGGGGGAGGGGGGTCAAAAATCGTCCAAAATCTGTCCCAAAGGGGAAACTAAAACAAAATCTCTCCTCTTCTTGTTTTGGTTTTACAACCCCACCTTGATCTCGGCGAAATGTCTCATTAAACAAATGGCGAGGTGACCTGGTGGGTCAGAGGTCAGAGCACGGGGCTGGAACCCCTTGAGATCTCCCGGAGTTCGAATCCGGGTTTCGGCCACTTCCTCTGATTAAACCGGATCCTAATTTGTAGAAGATTGTATCGTCTCGGTCACCGACAACTGTACCAAAACACTGATTTCAAGTTTTCGTTTCGTGCTCCTGCAGAATTTGGCTAAAACATACCACTGGCTCGACTGTCACGCGATCAACATTTCTCCCCTTTGGGACCGGGGGCTGCAGAGGGGTGGGCACAAGATCTGCAGCGCTGTTGCGTGGACCACAGATGCCATTTGGAGGCATCTCAGAGCTCACGTTGTGATATCTGCTTCCAACGAAACGTCTTTAAAAATTTGTAACAAAAAGAGAAAACCCGTTTGCTTGATTTTTATCAATATTCCTACGATTGGGAACATTTGCTCACGTGACAACTGAATTTCAGGAAGATTTCTCCACAAATCTGGCTGCCGCCTGATGAAGCGAAACGAACTCAGATTGTAAATGTTGTGGATTTGCTTTCCAACACAGCCAGTGTGTTGTACTAGTGACGAATTGGCCACGTTCTGTTTACGTGACAAACCTTAATAATTACATTTGTCGGGTGGTGGAGGGTTTAGCGACGCATTTATATATTTATGCGATCTAATCCAAAACAAAACCTGCATCATGGTCGTGAAAGCCTACGTGTAAAACTGAACTGGCTAGTCGGGTGGTGGAGGCATACTTAAAATAGAAATGGACATTATTCACGACATGCAAGATGATCTCACCCCAAATAAATAAATCCGCTTCTTAGGGCCCCGTTTCCTAACAACAAACGTTTGCACTGTTTGTCATAAATCTGTTAAAAGATCCAAACATTTATATACCAATATATATTTACAAATGGTAAAATCCTTAATTTACAAATGCCTCCATTGACAAGGGGCAATTCGATCTTAATGTGCTCCCACACGGCGAAAAAGTGAAACAAAGGTCCCCCGTATAGCCTGAAGAGGCTGTTGGGGCAAGTGCTGTGAGCGAGTACCACCTATGAAGGCTACCGGCACAGCACACGAGGGGGTGGGTGGCCAGCACCACGCCCGGCCGCCTTTGTCTCCCCAATGGCGATATTTATACACCGCACCAGGTACTCATTTGAGGCTGAGTCGACACACACACACACACACGTGCATACACGTACACACACGCGAACACACGTACACACACGTACCAACACACCCATACACACGTACACGCACACACGTGCACACACACACGTGCACACACACCTACACGCACACACGTGCACACACACGTACACACACACGTACACACACGTACACACACACGTACACACACACACGTGCATACACACCTACACGCACACACGTGCACACACACGTACACACACGTACACATACACACACACACGTGCACACACGTACACACACGCGAACACACGTTCACATACGTACCAACACACCCATACACACACGCGTACACGCACACACGTGCACACACACACGTGCACACACACGTACACACACGCGTAGAAAATTACCACCGCCATTGGCCTCGTGCCCTCTGCCACATTTCCCCTCGTGATGACTCTGCCGCTTACAATCTCAACATGTCACACTCCGGCCCCGACGACGACAAGGACCACGACGATTTCATGCTGATGACAAATACATAAATAACGATATCAACACTGAAATAACCCCCCCCCCCCAAAAAATGTCTCTCTCTATGTATGTAGACACACACACTGAGCAAAGTCTCGGCACCTCCGTGCGTGTGCGTGTGTAACAGCGTCTACGGAATTAGTATTGCGTGTGGGGTCAAGAGAGGTCACTGCTGTTGGGGACTGGTGGATGCATGCAATGCTGCGGCGGAGAGAGGCCAAACCACCAGAGACAAAGATCCCCCGTGTAGCCTGCACGTGCTTTTAGGGACAAGTGTCTCTTGGCGAGAGGCGGCGGCGGCAGCAGCAGCAGCAGCTGTGAAGAGCGCCGCGGCGCACGAGGCCGCCTTTGTCTCCCCGGTTGCGATGTTTGCGGCGCACCGCCCACCGGGTACCGGTTTGAGGCTGAGTCGACCTAGGGGCGGGCCCAAAACCGTTTCGGATAATCGTCGCCGGTGTTGGCGGTGGCCGCGAGTGGGAATCAAACTCGTGTTCGGCGGGTTTGTAGTACAGCACAGCGCGCTAAGCGTTACCAAAAGACAAAGATCCCCCGTATAGCCTTGAACAGACTATTGGGGCGAGTGCTGTTAGCGCCTCCCCCCCCCCCCCCTCCACGTGTGTTGTGCCGGCCTTCACATGTGCTTGCTAACCACCACAACCAACATCAACAACAGCAGCAACCACCACTCCAACAGCCCCCCCCACCCCCCACACACACTCCTGCGGCTTGGCTGTGCGTCTCCCAGAGCCTTATAGTAAACGTGTAATGTGCTAGATACAGTACATTTACATTTAGATGAATATCGATTCTTTCCGCATCACGATGTGCACGTCAACCCCTGTTCTGTGTGTGTGCGCGTGTGTGCGCGCGCGTGTGTGTGTGCGTGTGCCTGGGTCTGCCGCGATTTCGTGGCTGCTGCAGCAGCAGCAGCAACAGACGACGTTAGCGGAAAAAAAAAACTAAACCAAAAATTATCTCGCCCATTAAATATCACAGGGGAGCCACGGCGTCTTTCAGAGCTGCTGCTGCTGCCACCTCCAAGGGTCGAGATTTCCCTGGACGTGCACCGCAGTAGGGAAAGGAATATCCCAGATGGGGGGGGTGGGGACAGGACAGGACAGGAAGCAGACCCCCTTACATTTAGAGAACATTCCCTGCCAAGTAAAAAAAAGACACCGCCCTTAGCAGGCTGCTGAGTGGGGCAAGTGCTGTTCGCGGCACGGCACACGGTGAGGGTTGTGTGGCGAGAA